GGCCGCTCTTAGACCAATCAGAAATTTGCCTCAAATCATCACAGACTATGTTTAGATTCCCCCGAGTGCCACCCAGGTATCCTTCTATACTTATTGTTTACCAAATGTTAAACAAGGATGACATGACACCCGGAGAGCACTCGAGTGAGAATCTGAACACGCCCACAAGGTAACTGTCATAACTGCATTTACAGGTTACTGTCACAGATTACTTTCACAGGTTACTGTTATAACTGCATTCTTTTTTTCCAATACTTATTTATTTTTACCAGCTTATATTGCATCTAAAATTGTATTATGATACTAATCTTATTTTGTATTGTTTTTAATAACATATAGGCTAGCTCTTTTACAATCCTTGCTTTTAAATATTAAAATTTACATATTTTATATTAGTTATAGAAAAGTTCTATTTTCATCTAAAAAATCTGGAAAAGTCAAGAAATATTAAAATTACAATAACTTGTAGCTGAAACGCTATTTAGTCACTTTACACTACTGTTTCTAATAGGAAAAGTATTCTGGTATATTTACTAATTCAAAAGAATATTTTGTCACCTTATTTGTTTCGTATACACTCATGCAATGTCGGAATATCATTCCTAGATAAATAAATAGTACAAAATGTAAAAATCTTGGTTATGTTGGTAGCTATGAAGAGACGACACACAGTTGAACTCAGCATTTTAGCTGTGTACGATTGTGTCGACTTGTGTCATAGTTGGAAAGCACCGTGTCGTACACTGTGTTACACAGTGTCTACTTGTGTCGTAGCTGGAAAGCACCCTTTATCTATACATTATCTGTATCTACACATACTTACCTATATCTACTTACCTATACTTACTTACCTATGTTTCTTCATTTAAATCTATACTTACCTATATTTACCTATATTTAGTTATCATTTCTTTTTTGTACCATAAATTTTTATTAGCTCTGGAGCTTTTTAAATTATACTCTTTCATATTTTAATTTATATTTTTACTACATATTTCCATTAATACTATTTGAATTCCGCTCTAATGTTGAGGCAAAATTCTTATTGGCTCTTTCTATATTCAGTCGCCATTATGCGCAACGGAACACCTGGTATTCTTACATCATGGCATTTATAATCGTTTGTTCTCTTAGATAATACTTACAAATAAAAAATTTACAAATAAAAAATTCACTAGAATCAGTCATCTACTCTAGAGTCCTAGATATCAGAGAAGCGCAACCGGCTTAAGTCAGTTTCGCAAAATTACGAAGAAAAATATTAAAAATGGCGTCGTTTGCAGACGAAATATGAAATCCACCAATCGTCTATTAGTCAGCCATTTTTAATACCACTGAATGAATGTCATGATTGGCTGACAGTCAGCTAATCAGGACGCGGAACATCGGTTGCGCTTCTCTGATATTTAGGACTCTAATCTACTCTAGGTCATCTGTGCATTTATTTTGTCTCACAGTAATTGTTAATTGATATATACTCACATATACATCATTCTTTTATATACAGGGTGGCTGAGAATAACCGCATAATATTTAATGGGTGGATAGAACAGACTATACTGAGTCGAAAAGTCCTGTACCATTTTGGGATTGCAGCAATAGTTAACGAGATATTAATTTTTAAAGATTGGCAAATACGCGCGTCCGTCCGGCCTACCACACCATTGAGTGTAAGCCACAGATGTCTATACTATACTAGATTGCTAACATCTGTGGATTAAAGCATCAGAAAGTGTGTGCGGCAGGATATCCGGTTTCAGCGGTTTCGACCGCAACAAAATGGCGGCGAGCATGCGCATTAGTGCATAGATGTGATTTCTACTAATACTATTGCGCGATTCCATTGTCGGTGTGATTTCGTTGCCGCCTTACCGGTATATAGTAGTATTTGTTTGAAAAACGCATTCTTAAGTAAAGAAAAATACAATGCCGAGCATTTGTTGTATTAAAAATTTATATCTAAATCATTACATTACATATCAATCATTACATTTTATATCTAAATCTCTCAAACCAATGTTTAAAATTGTTTCTGTAAAATAGATCTTTGCTGCTTGCCAAGTACACTAACCTAAGATTGCTTAGGTTGGCTGCTACAGCTGTGCTTGACAAGCACAGCTGACAAGCAAACAGCCATTTTGTTGCGGTCGACATGGCTGAAACCGGATATCCTGCCGCACACAGCACATTGGCGACTGTTAGCAATCTAGTATAGTATAGACATCTGTGGTGTACGCCTACAGAACGTCGCGATGGGCGCGCGGGCCGCGGGAAGCGGACGTTTGGGGGCTAGCGGCGGTGTGCGCGGCGCGGGCGGCGGAGCGCTTGCCAACCATCCCGACTCTTCGCGCGGCTAGCTATCGCGATAGCGAATATTCGGCGCTTCAGAAATTAATATTTTGACAGCGAAAATCGGGAAATGATCGAAATATTTTTGAGAACTCAATTTAGTTCGCTCTAAAGCGTGTACATGCCCGTGTACATACAGAAAAATGTTATAAATATGAATTGTTTTCAGTAAATAATAAGTGTATTTTAATTGTACCAACAACGTTCATTAATAAGATAGAGCGGACTAAACTGAGTCGAAAAGCCTTTTACCAGTAATTTGTAATTTTCGCAATATAGTTAACAAGATATTAATTACTAAAATATTAATTTTCAAGAATTTTTCATTCAAGTACTATCAACTTTACAGAAAAACAGCAAGAGGCGAAAATTGTTTATTTTCTTTTCATAAAGTTTTAGAAATTTTTTCATAAATTTTTATCAACCTTTTAGTGCTGCATTTTCTTATTAACAACTGTTTTTATGAGAAAATACGGTACTAAAAAATTCCCAGAGCTTTATGAAAATAAAATAAAAAATTTGACGAAGCATTATCATTTCCGCACCACCTGGAGGTAGATAGCATGGCGCATTTTTTTTTAAGTGGTATCCCAGTATACTGGGAATTTTTTCAGAATTTTTTAGTACCGTATTTTCTCATAAAAACAATTGTTAATAAGAAAATGCAGCACTAAAAGGTTGATAAAAATTTATGAAAAAATTTCTAGAACTTTATGAAAAGAAAATAAACAATTTCCGCCTCTTGCTGTTTTTCTGTAAAGTTGATAGTACTTGAATGAAAAATTCTTGAAAATTAATATTTTAGTAATTAATATCTTGTTAACTATATTGCGAAAATTACAAATTACTGGTAAAAGGCTTTTCGACTCAGTTTAGTCCGCTCTATCTTATTAATGAACGTTGTTGGTACAATTAAAATACACTTATTATTTACTGAAAACAATTCATATTTATAACATTTTTCTGTATGTACACGGGCATGTACACGCTTTAGAGCGAACTAAATTGAGTTCTCAAAAAGATTTCGATCATTTCCCGATTTTCGCTGTCAAAATATTAATTTCTGAAGCGCCGAATATTCGCTATCGCGATAGCTAGCCGCGCGAAGAGTGGGGATGGTTGGCAAGCGCTCCGCCGCCCGCGCCGCGCACACCGCCGCTAGCCCCCAAACGTCCGCTTCCCGCGGCCCGCGCGCCCATCGCGACGTTCTGTAGGCGTACACTCAATGGTGTGGTAGGCCGGACGGACGCGCGTATTTGTCAATCTTTAAAAATTAATATCTCGTTAACTATTGCTGCAATCCCAAAATGGTACAGGACTTTTCGACTCAGTATAGTCTGTTCTATCCACCCATTAAATATTATGCGGTTATTCTCAGCCACCCTGTATAAGCATTCACAGAGTATGTATCCAATAGTTTTTAAAAGTTCTGTACAAACTATTTCTAAGGTAATAGAAAGAGTATTGAAACACTTACGTTTGTCTTTTACGCAGCAATAATTAATTCGAGTTACTAGCAGACGACACAGCAACTATGACAAAATCGCTACAGTCATCGGTGGCACCATTATTTATTATCTGCTGGTTCCACTGTTTAGGATTATTTGAATATCCACTTGGACAATCTAGACTGCATTTCACTTGCCTGTATGCTTTGGCCTTATGGAACTCTTATACCCACACAGCACCGAATGTCACCAGAATGTCGTCAAAATATTACATTTGAAATATGAAATATTCTGGCGATGATCTCGGAAACATTTTGGCAATGTTAACAGAATGTCTCATGTCCGCGCCTATCAATATTCTGGAGATATTCTGTAATATTCTAGAACCGTTTTCTTGAATGTTACCAGAATGTCGTCAAAATATTACATTTGAAATCTGAAACATTCTGGCAATGTTAGCAGAATGTCTTATGTCCGCATCTGGCAATATTCTGGCGATGTTGTATTTGAAATATTTTAGTATCTTGTGAATGAAATATTCTAGAGAATAGATTTTTATATACGAAGCTTATTAATTATACAGGGTATTTCAAACCACCCGTAGAATATTATTCTACGAAGATAAAAGGAAACACCCGGTATAATTAATAAGCTTTGTATATAAAAATCTATTCTCTAGAATATTTCATTCGCAAGATACCAAAATATTTCAAATACATCACCAGACATTGAAATGAAACGTTTCCGGTATATATTAATAATAGAACCTCGTCCTCATCGTTATTTAACACTACGTACATATATAAACAGTTCAAATATTTTGTCTCAGGATCATTTAAAAAAAATTTATTATAATAAAAATATAACACAAAAGAATAAAATAAAGCAGTATACAAAAAAATTAATAAAATAAAAAAAATACAAAAGAATTAATAAAAATAACATATATTGTGTTTTGTGGTGGCCGTAGCGCACTGGCAAAGTATTTGCCTCCTATGCCAAAGATCCCGAGTTCAAATCCAGCTAGAATTCCTAAATAAAAATAATAACAATAAACAGCCATCACCGGTTGCTCCGGCCGACCGACAGTCAGTATAACTCTGACGGCTGGATAGGATTCTGTGGGCCAATCACCCGCAAACCCGAAACAAGCTGATTCGAGAAACGAATACGAGCCTCGGATATCGGACGGATACAACGGAAATGAACCTTAGCTATCAAAAAGGTATACGAATTGGCACTTGGAACATCCGGACATTGGCACAGGCATCCCGTTTGGCACAACTAAGCAAAGAAATGACACGCTGTAAAATTAAGATCCTAGGTCTCAGCGAAGTGCGGTGGAAGAACAGCGGGGACATTACAACGTCAGACAATCACTACATGATATATTCGGGCAATTCAACCACCCACATTAATGGAGTTGGAATAGTTATATCCACTAAAATTAAAAAATCATTAATGGAGTGGAATCCAGTCTCCGACCGATTAATAACCGCTCGTTTCCGAGCCAAAAATCGCAATATAACAATCATTCAATGCTATGCACCAACGGAAATAGCAGACGACAGCGAAAAAGATCATTTCTACAACCAACTGCAGTCCACAATCGCCTCAACGCACAAAAGAGACATCAAACTTGTCATGGGTGACTTTAACGGGAAAATCGGCAATAATAATAACAACCTCGATGAAATAATGGGTCGCCATGGACTTGGAGAAGCACGCAATAACAACGGCGAGCGATTAATTGATCTCTGCATGGCCAACCGACTTTTCATCGGCAGCACGCGATTCCCGCACAAGGACATTCATAAATATACCTGGCAAGCACCAGACGGAGTAACACGTAACCAGATCGACCACGTGCTAATTGACAAGAAACACCTGAAGTCTCTTCTAGATGTTCGAACAATGCGTAGTGCGGACATGTATAGCGACCATAAGCTAGTCGTGGCAAAAATACGCATAAGAACAATGAATATAATAACAACAAGAACAAAACAAAAGAAATTTAATATCGAAAAATTCAAGAATAAAGGCGAACGTCGGAACTTCTGTGAAACTGTAACAGCCAAAGTTAATAATATCAGTCCTACAATAAGTGCGAAGGAAAAATGGGAATTAGTGCAAAAAGCATACGTAGAATCCGCAAATGAAGTCATCGGGATCAAAAACAGTACCCGTAAAATGTGGATCACGAATGAAACCTGGGAATTAATCGAACAAAGAAGAACATTAAATCAGCAACTAAACCAGGTCCGAAGTGATGTAACCCTTGCAAGATATAACAACATAGAAAAACAAATTAAGAAAATGGCAAGAAGAGATCGTCGTAAATTCGAAGAAAACATCATCAATGACGCTGAAGTGGCGGCGGAACAAAAGGACGTGCGCAAAACATACCAATGTATCAGGAGGATCACCGGCCATTTTACAAGCATTCCACAAATTAAGAACAGCGATGGCCATATTCTCACTACGGAACAACAACAACTTAATCGATGGGTAGAATTCTTTAAACACGACGACCCAACAATAGATAACTGCGACATAGACTATACAACATCATCTCGTATCAGCACAAAGTCACCATCAGTTGCTGAAATCAGATTAGCAATAAAGAAACTCAAGAACAACAAAGCCGCAGGTAGTGACGGCATCGCACCGGAATTACTTAAAACTGATCCATCATTTGCGGCGGAAACACTTGCCCCCATTATAACAGAAGTATGGGACACAGGCAGCATCCCGGCGAAATGGAAACAAGGAATAATCATCACAATTCCAAAGAAAGGTGATCTCCGTGAATGTAAGAACTAGCGAGGAATAACCCTACTGAATACAATTACGAAGATTCTAGCGTCAATCATCCGCGAGAGAATGACAGCGCACGTCAATGAAAAATTGAGAAAAGAACAAGCAGGATTCCGCCCGGGACACAGCTGCATAGATCATATAAGCAGCCTTCGAATTATAGTGGAGCAAGCAGCAGAATTCAACTCACCACTGTATCTGACTTTCGTGGACTTTGAAAGAGCATTTGACACCGTGACTTGGCCGGCTATATGGAAAACACTAGAAAAATTTGGAATACCAGCCCAAATAACAAGATTAATAAAAGAATTATATGATAACGCGGAATGCGGTGTTCTCTTCAAAGGAAAACTGAGCCCCTCCTTCCAAATCAGAAGAGGTGTACGCCAAGGCTGCATTCTATCACCGATGCTATTCTTAATGGTACTGGATACGGTGATGGAAAAATGCAATCAAGAAACAACAGGCGGAATACAGTGGCTGCTGACTCGCCGACTTGACGATCTCGACTATGCGGACGACATCGTGTTACTATCTCATACACACAAAGATGCACAGGGGAGAATTTCAGCACTTCAAAGATACGCTGCAGAAGTTGGACTAAAGATCAATACCAACAAAACAAAAATAATGCGTATTGGAACAAACATAAGCACACCTATTTCCATTGAAGGACGCACAATCGAAGAAGTCAACGACTTTGTATACCTTGGTTGCGTAATTGCCAAAGACGGAGGAACCAACATCGATGTTAGCAAAAGAATAAACAAGGCCCGACAAGCCTTCTTCAGACTTAATAAAATATGGAGAAGCTCAAAGATGTCTAACATACATAAGCTTCGTTTATTCAATGCTTGCATCAAATCTGTGCTGCTATACGGTTGCGAGACCTGGAAAAACACAGATGGACTGATAAACAAACTTCAGGTCTTCGTGAACAAATGTCTGCGACGAATTCTGAGACTGTTCTGGCCAAACTTACCAACAAATGAAGAACTACTGCGCGCTTCCAAGCAAGAAAAAATAGGCACTGAAATCCGCCGCAGAAAATGGAAATGGATCGGCCATACTCTAAGAAAAGATCCGCATAACATAGCTCGCATGGCTATGGAATACAATCCGCAAGGAAAGCGCAAAAGAGGGAGACCTGCCATGTCTTGGAGGAGAACAATAGATAATGAAATTAAATCTATTGGAAAATGCTGGGCAGAAATAAAAACGATTGCCCAAAATAGAGTAAGATGGAGGAGACTCGTAGACGTCCTATGCTCCACATAAAGGAGATAAAAGGAGTGATGATGATGATGATGATATTGTGTTTTATGTATATATAGATATATATGCAGGGAATGGAAAGTTACTTTTTAAAAGTAACTAGTTACAGTTACTCGTTACCGAGTAAAAAATGTAACTAGTTACAGTTACAGTTATCGCTTTTTAAAAGTAACTCGTTACAGTTACCGTTACTTGAAAAATAACTTTTCGTTACTTTTCCGTTACTTTTTTAAAATCAATTTAAAAATGTACTTTTGCATTTTTTTT